AAAAAAAAAAAAAAAAAAAAACGACACGTTATTGTAAGATAACTGGTTCGAAACCACCTCTCGATTTCCAAAGATCGGCTCATTGTACGACCGGTGCACGGCTTTGGTTCCCTTTGTCTCTTCAATGGCTTCGATATTTCGCGTCGGATACGAAGCCTGCTACACCGTTTCCCACAGTTCGTTCCGTTCCGTTTTGCCAGGCAAATGTTCGATCATTCGGAAAATAACGAGAGATGTCGAGGAACCGGGGCACGAGAGATAAGCTCGCAGACATTCCTCACTGACCGCAACGATCCTCTCGAGTTAGCCGTGTTTTTTATCCGCAGTGAAGAAATCGATTTGTCGTGGGACGCCACCCCTTCGAGGATTCAGATCCCGAGTTTCTTGTTTCCTCTTCCGCAGCTAGAATTTATTTATTAGTTATATTGAATGAGAATCTATTTTTTATTATTTTATAATATATATAAATATATATAATTATTAATTTTACAGAATGACATATTATTATTATTATTATTATATCAAACAGAGATATAATAATATTAAAATAACGCGATGTAATATTCTTTTTAAAGTATTGAATTATATGAGCGTGTAGAAAGAATTCTATAAAATTAAATTATAGTTTGAAATATTTGATGAATGGAGATAGTTTTGTGAAAAGAATTTACTGTTAGTTATGTTGGAAATTATAATTCGATGAGAACTTTTGTTTTTTAATGTTTAGTGGAATTTTTCATAGGGATGATAAGATTAAATCAATATTTTAATATTAGAAGCTTCATTAATAAAGTAAAATTCTTCTTTCTCCTTCTCTTCCCTTTTCTTCTTGAAAATTTGATCAACTTTGAATAATTCATTGGCCAAGGGAGATATAAAATTGCAATTTCAAAGAAATATAGAAAGGGATACGAGACATATTTATCTTACTAGAATCAATTAAATATTTGAGTACCTTGAATTTCAGTATCTTTTGAATTTTTTTAATGCCTTCGACTCGTACCATGAGAATTCTGTAAATCACTCTATCGAGACCGGAACCAACCCCTCAACAAATCGATAGAAACCTTTGCTTAAAAAAAGAACTGCATGCATCAACAGTGGTGCCATTATAATGAGCAGGTTTTGAGGGTAGTATATTACCCCATAGAAGTTTCGAGGGTAGCTTTGTAATTCGAAACAATGTGGTTTATTACATTTAAAAAGATCACTGATTATTTGCAAAACATAAAAAATTCACAAGGAGAAATTAAAATTAAAAAATTTCTGAAATTAAAAAAAGATTATAGTGATAATATTTTATCAAATTCAAAATTCGTTTCTACGATTTCTTTTTTTCTTTTAAATTATTAATAATTAATGATGAATATTAATTTCCGCAATGGAAAATAAAAAATAGTAATTAATTTGATAATTAAATGCATAACCATGAAACTATGATTAATACAATTTTAAATAATCCTACGAGAAAAAAAAAAGTGAGGAAACAAAGATTCTTCAGAGCAATACATGCCCAGAATTGTCGCGTGTTTTATTCACGCATAATGACCACGAACAAAATATCCCTTTGATTAAAAGGGACATAGTTGGCCAGGTGCCTTCTGGTTCTCGTGTCACGCGCCTTCGTTATGCATACCTTTCTCCTTTCGTTCATCGGAAGGATTGAATGTCTACGGTGTGGTGACGAGGGTGCGTAAGAATGGCGAAGGATTCGGAAGTAGGTGGTGGAAGTTGAGGGCAGATGTTTCATTCCATCGAGAATTATCGTGGAATTTTTTTACTCCTTTTACATCCATTACATATCGTACACGCGCCCTTTATTATTAGAAGCCAGACAAAGTTTCTTCTTCCTCTTCCTTCCTTCCTTCCTTTCTTACCCTTTTTCTTTTCTTTCCTTTTTTATCGTTCGAGTTCCGACAAAGTAGAAGCCGCTTTCGCAGCAGCTTGCAATTTCTATCGAGGAATTCTTTGGGGGAGTTTTTTGCGAGCTAGGCCATTCTTATGGAACACGCAAATATCTTTGTTGTATCTTGAACAATTTCTTGTAAGAGAGTTCAATCTTTTATTCGTAAATTACTTAACTGAGTATTATTGTTTGTCTGTAATTAATTCTTTTTCTTATTTCGTGAATAATATGCAAATTTGTATATTTTGAAATACACGTGTCATGGATGGAATTTGCATTTAATTTTAAGTTTTAATGAGAATAACAAATAACTCTTCAGAACTTTTTATACTATCATAAGAATTTAATTTTTGAAGAATAATTCGTGAAGAAATACGAATATATATATATATTAAATTCTAAACAATATAGTAATTAATTAATTCAATATGAAAATTTCCAAAAATTTCCATAAATGTCTGAATAATATAGATAATCAATTAGTTTGAAAAATAAAGTGGATTAACATGAAAAGAATATACTGTTATGTGATTACTTGGAGAACAGTTAATAATAGAAAAAAAGAATGATTTGTCCCAGTTGCATGATCCTTCCTGTTCAAGTATCCGTGTTTATTTCGTGTTTCCACTTTAATGACACATGTACACGCAACACGAACACTGAAAGTTCGGCACGAGCTATGGTGAGAGACTGGTTTTCATGGCTCACGATTCTGGACAATGCACAAGCATATATGCATGCGAACTTACGCACGGGATGCATTACAAATATAAGTGGCGCGTACTTGCAATCTTCCTTTGACAATTTTTGAATACGTGATGCTTTCATACATCGTTGAAAAGATTATATTTCTTCCAGTTTCTCAATTATTGCTCAATTATTACTTAATTCGCAATTACAATCGAGTTTTATTGGCGTTTAAATTAAAAAAAAAAAAATTAAATTCAAATAAAAAAATAAGAAAATTCTGAAAGCATCTTGAAAGCAATAGTGCATAATCGATGAATATATTTCGTAATAGTTCGTAAAATTTAAACTTAATAATTTTTTTTAAAATAAAGAAACCGGAAAAAAAGGAAATGCTATCGAAAATAATTAAAAAATATTTATATATCCATATTTTAAATTAAAGTAATTCTGATTTAAAATTATTTAGAAAGATATATATAGATATGTGATAGTTTTTTTTTTTTTTTTTTCATAAGACAATATGAGAAATAATTTGTCGATTTACTTTCTGCATTCGTAATATGACAGAAATTGGATGTCACGGTAAAGTGACTCCACGTGAAACCTTAATAACTATCCAAGATCCCCAGCAGACCAAAACCATGACCCGTAACCGGATAGATGTTATAATAAATGGTACACTGAGTAAGTAAAGTTAGGACCGCTAAAGGTCTTCTTCTTTACATACGAGTAACGGAGCGTACATATTTCAAACGTGGGTCGCAAAAGGATTGATTAGATTAGAGCAAGTTTACGAGAAACTTGTCCATTTATGTATAATCTCGTGTAAAAGTTTTTAAAAATTACTAATTAACGTAACGTTAATGTAATATTATTTTATATGTAATATAATTAATGTAACGAATAATATAATATTTTGTTTTTTATTTTTAAATACAGAATTAATTATTAAATCATCAAAAATTTACTTTCAATAAATAGAATTATGTTACTCTATTTTATTCACAAAATATATTACTTCTGCCTGTTCTTTATAATTTCGTTCCATGAGTTCATTAACATAAAAATACATAAAAATGTTGAGAAATCTTTTACAAAATTTCAACATAAGAAAAATACAAGTATACATTGCAACAATAAGACAAAAACATTTTTCTTCATATTAGTTTCCCAGATTATTCTTCTTTATACAGAACAATGGGATACGATATTTTGTAACAAAGCATTAATGATCGAAATTCCTCTTATCCTCAGTCAAAAGAACTCGAAAATTATCATTGATGATAGAGTTTAGGACAACCTAAAAAAAAAAAGAAGATTGGTCCCTAGAAAAATGCGAATGATGGAAGAATAGAGAATTTTTTTTCAGTACGTGAATTATTCTTTCCAGATTTTTTTTTGTGTCAAATGATATATTTAGAATTCTTTTAGAATTCTCAAATGTTGGAGCTCTAATAAAGATTAGAAATTATAGAATTTCGAAGTATAAATTCTTTTTTTTAGAAAATTAAAAAAATTTTATCAATTATTTTTTCTATTTCATATTTTTTAATCTTTTTTTCTTTTCTTTTTTCTTCTTTTCTATAAATCATTTTCTTAGATTATTTCACATAATTCCTTAATGGTTCTAATAATTCTTAATTAAATAAATATATGTAATACATGTTTCCTTTTTTTCTCATATTAAATATTTTTCATTCCCAATTATCACATAATATAATGTAATGTGTAAATTCTTCGTGATATCTGAATATGATTAGATCTTATCGGATATTTTATCAAATTTAATAAGCAAGCGCTGATGCTCGACCAATTGCCTATTTACAGACGCTCCTAATGGAAAATTAAATTGTTCATAACTTGTAAAATAAATCTATCATTTATGTATTCTAATTTTTTTATTTATTTTAATATCTTATTGTAATATAATTACATTGCCATACTCTACAATAATATCAAAGTAAATCTCTTATTAATTAATCCATTATTTTCTAGTAATACAATTTTTTTAAATTTCTTTACCTTATATAGTTGCAAATTATTTATATAGTTGCAAAAAGAGATTGCAATTTAAAAAAAATTGGAAAAGTCTCTATATCTCAATGATTTTGCATCATTCGTATTTTTAAATTGAATTTCGAAAAGAATAATTCCATGGCGATACAGAGATCCATCTTACAGAGAAGCAAAGACGCTTTGGAAAAAGCGGATCGAGGCTGTCGAGGTCGTCACACTCTCTGCCCGGTGCAACAATGACCATCAGAAAGAGTAGACCGGAAGTCTCTTGTAATCCGCGGATGCCTGAGCTAGGCTAGAATAGGACAGGCTAGACGAGTGTCTTGACGCGGATTATATTTATCCGGTATATAGCTATCATGAGAATACATTCGAGTCGTGAGAATATTACTTGAACAATGCGTGTCCAGTTATAATGTGGATTTCTTATAATACGTAAATCTCATGAAACAAAGAATGAAAAAAATTTAATAATTCTATTAAAAAAAAAAAAGAATAGAAGATATATTAAATTATTTAATAAATTCAATAAATGATATAAATAAATTCTTTTTACAATGAATTTTTTTTTTCAAAATATCTTTCTGTATATTTTCTGTGTTATTAATTTTTTTAATTTTTTAGATTAGAACATTAGATTAGAACAATTCTATTCTCATCCGTGTTGCATCTCTTAGTGCAAACTTCCAACGATGTCGTGTAACTTTTATCTACATCTTTGCCTAAAAAAAAGGAATCTCCTTTGCATCGAACGAGATTATGTCTACTGTTTCTTTTCCTTTTTCTTTCTTCTCAAACACTCATGAATACATAATCGACTGTGAGAAGTCGAACTGGAAGTTCAACAGGGCGCGGCACCTGTACCCTGCCGTGCCTTTCTTGGATCCCTTCTTTTTCTCTTTCCTCCTGCCGAGAATTTCTTCGTATTCGCATGTATTCACGTTTCCATGCACGATCCATCGATAATTTTCAGGTCAGTATGTTCGATTCCGCTGTGTAGATTATCATGATCTCGTTAACCTGCGAAATCCCTTTGGTATTTCATAGGCGGAGGTGGAAGAAACGTAACACGCTCGAAGAATGCTTATGAGTCACTTGGAATATTTATATGGTAATTTCTCTTTTAACGATTGTTTCTACTATGATTAGTCAGACAAGTTTCCTCTTTGGCAATATAGATTTGCGTGAAATAATAAGAATAATTGTTGACTTATGTTATCATGATTGGATCATCCATAAACTTTTTCGTTTGGAGAGTTTTTAACAGAAGAGATTATAATTTTTTGATAATCGATAGATATGTAAGTTATTAAACCAGAATTGAGATTCGGTTTTATCTAAAATCAAATGGTTTGATTAAATTCTGAAAATTAAAAAACTAAAGATTAAAAAGTTTTTAAAATTTTAATGAGATAGAAATATTATTTTTGATTTTTTAAAAATTATAATAATTTTTCAATTTTTGTCAAATTTAAGAATAAGTATACTTATGGATAAAAATTTAGATTTATGTCTTATTTTTTATGCAGAATCTCTTTCAAATAATTTCTTCAAGCTCCTTATACTCGTTCTAAAATTCCCTAAGCTATCTGATAGTTATGTTTTATAAGATGTCCATAAAGTATTTACGAAATGTGATTCTTGTTTTCATTGACGTATATACCTTTGTATTCCTATTGTCAAAGAATTAGCGGATGTTCGTTGCATTCGTTTATCCAAGATTTAATTCACTATCTTATCAATTAGATTGAAAGTTCTCAGAAGTTCAACATTCGCTTCCAATACTTTTATCTATTACAAACATTAAGCAGTACTGCATTAGAAGATGCGATGAATTGCATTTTTCTTATTTAATAATAAGATATAATAACATAATATAATTATATATATAATACCTATAATTTTTATCTTTAAATAAAAATGACTCATTTACAAAATAAAGTTTCGATAGTAATATGTTTTTATAATATGTATGGAAATTTTAATATATGTCAATAAGAAAGATATCAAATTTATATAATTTATATATAAAGATATCAAATACAAAGATATCAATATTGTCACATAATTTTTTAATAAGTATCGTTTGTAATAAGAAGTTATTTCTTTTAATTATAAATAATAATATTCTTCCTTGTCCCAGTTTTTTAAACCTGCAAATTGAGGCAAATTTATGATAAAATATAAATGCAAAATGCAATTATCTTCATATTGTTTCCAAAGTATCACAGAGTTCAATGATCATTATAACAGAATATTCCATATAGAAAATTCTAACCTATAAATATCTATATACATTCTTAAAAATTTAAACATTCCATAGGGAAAATATATCTTTTCTCACAAATGTGTATAAATTCGAAAATAAGACTTATTTAAAACAAAATAAGTTATTCTTATACAAAATTACAGATTCATAAAGTTTCCAAAGGATTTCACAAAAAGTTGAACGATCTCTAGCACAAGATTATTCAACTAATGTCTCCTTTTGCTTGAGAATTAAAGGCACGCATATAATTCGTGTTTTGACGCAGCTGATTTTAATAACTGATTGTGTCTATGGAGTTCCAATTAACATCTCTAAATATAATTAACAGCAATTAAGTAATCGCAGCCGTGAATTGTTGAATCATTAAAACACGTATTAAAGATCGACTATGTAAGAACAAGAAATATTTTGAAAGTTGTACCTGAGAGACAGGAAGTGATGTGTAGATATCTATTAACATTCCAAAATAATCCATCTCATTTAATACGAATTGAATCACAATTAATTGCATTTCTTCTATTTTTTTATTCAATCACATCAATTAGTTCAATTTTTTTCCATTGTCATTTTATATATAAATATAGGTTATGTCAAAATTAATGTTACTTGAATGAATAAGAATATTTATATTTTATTTTTATTTTTCTCTTAAGATTATAATATGATATATATCTCTATGATATAAATCTCTTTAAAATTCAAGTTATATATAAATAATAAATATTATTTTATTCAGACATCAAAAAATAATATTTGTATAATTTTTGTAAAATCAAAAAATGGATTAAGTATACTAACAGAATTTAGATATTAGAAGGAATTTAAATTCTTCTTTTATTCTATTTGTTTTTCTGAGCACATTCTGGAATGTGTCACAAAACGAAGATTCCAATTATGGAATATAGATTCCGCCATCATTTCCGTGGGCGTTAGAATTCTATTGTATCGAAACTATATTCCTTTGTATCCGGACGATTATTCACTAAGGGACATGACAGTCATTCCAAAAAAAGAACGCGATAGATTGAAAGATATCCGTTCCCTTACCTCAGAACACGTTGATTCCTGATCGTTTCAGTTTTTTATATCACATATACAAAGAATACGTGAATTTTGAGGTTATCCTCATGAAAATTATCACAAATCAAAGATTGGATCCCGAATTATAATGAAATGAGAATCGATTTCTAATAAAATTATTTTCAAATTTAGAACTTGAAAAAAAATTGAAATATTTTTAAAAAATATAAATTATAAAAATAAAATCAAGAAAAAAATAATATATATAAATTTCATTAAAATCATATATATATCGACTATTGGATATTATTGGTTATTATATATATTATGTATGCATTATGTATGTATCATCAAAATCTTAAAATATTTTACTAATACATTTTAACAATATATATATATTGTAACAATATATTCTTCAATATATTCTAATAATAATAAAAAAAATATATCTTAAATATCTATTATTTAAATGTTTCTAAATTTCAAAAAAATATAATTATAATTTTAGAACAAATTAGCTGCTATATCTCCAGCTAATATACCTTCAAATATTTCGATGATTCCATCGTATTCGAACTGGAGCCAATGTTTCGGACATATGTCGAATATAGCCGGATATTCTTTAACAATGTTCTGCATTTTTGATGCTTCTTTCCTCTTTTTTCTCACAGGCTTCTATCTACTGCGATCTCAGGCTTTTTCTGCCTCCTGTCAGTGCGTTGAGTCACATGGCATTTTGACTGCCTCTTTCGACGACAACCAGGTGCGACCACGTGTCACGACATTTTAACGACGAGACAGATGGACTTTAAGTATTCGATTTTTCGTTGCATCATTTCTTCGTTTTTCGTTTTTCATTTTTCGCGTGAATTTATCTGTTTTTACGCTTGAATGATTTCGGGAAAAAATATATAAGGTTTTAATAAATTTTAAAAATGTTTTTAAATATTTAAAACGAGATTTTAAATCGAGATTTTAAAATCTCATCAACATTTTAAATAGTATTTATTTTAATATAATTCTAATCTGTTCTTTCCAAAAATATGTATTATATATGTATTTTAAAAAATAATATAAAATAATGAATTTTTGATAATGATATTATTCTGAAATTGTTATTCAAAAGAAAGAAAATAAGAAGAAAATGATAATCTTTCTCAAATATTTCAATGGAATAAAATTTAATAAATGATATCAGTATATTAAATTCAAATTTCGAAATTTTTACTTATAAATACATATTTTATTTAAAAAAAATTTATATAATCAAAACATTAATAAAAGAAATACATATCGAATAAAATCTAAATCGAATGAATATACAAATAATCGAAAGTGCGATCAATCGAAAATTAGCATGATCGATAAGTTATAGAATAATTATCGCATTATTGTACAAAATTCGATTGCATTGCATATTCACATTGTAATTTCAACTATGCCAAATGTACATATTATATTATCATATAATCTTCATCGAGTGGAAATTAACGTGTAATAACGCGATGTCGTAAAATTTCATGCTGGGTGGTCCGGGAAGCTTGGATGGAGAAAAGTTTGAAGTGTGTTATTATGTCGAAATAAATTTAGGTTAACTGCTCTGTCGTGCAGCTTCTTTGTGCAATTTCAAAATTATCTGTGAATTCGTCTTCATTTCGATTTTAACTCTTTATTCTTTTATTAAAATATATTTATATTAATATTAGTGAAAAAGAAAAATTTGGAATAAAAACTTAAAAATAAATTCTTATAACTTTGAAATAGATAAAATAAAAATTAAAATGAAATTGAGAATTTAAATGATAGCATCCATCAATAATTTAAAAAAAAAAGAAATGCAAAAAATAGTTATTTTAAATATAGCTATTTCATATTATTATATTATATTATTATATTGTATATATTATTATTTATATTATAAGGTATCCCAATCTAATTCTGCACAAAATATAAGTGCTTACTTAAATATTGTTGTTAATATTGTTAATATTTTTCGCTAATATTTTTTAACTAATAAATATTAGAAAATATAGGAATTGATAAAAACTTTATATTGCCATAAGATGAAAGTTTAAGTATATTATATTATTGATATATTATTTCAATAAAAATGATGAGTTTCGTTGTGATTAAAATGAATAAAATGATATTGGCATGTTTGAACTTTTTTTAATGTTCAACGAACTCTTCATTAGTTTGCTAAATTTATATTTAGATATTTCTTAATAATTTTTCTTTACATTATCTTATATATTCTTTACATTTACAAAGATTTAGATAAAAATCATTCTTTGTGCAATTGTATCTTTTGTTCTATATAAAATAAGAGAAAGCATTTCTTTAAATTGCGAAAAATTTGAAGAAACTATTTTTGATTTTTAATAAATGTAAAAGAATATTTCTAAATATTTTAAATTTTAAAAATGTTTTAATATCAAGTCTCATAAAAAAAAAATCAATAAAATTTACAATTATAGCTAAAATAATGATGGTATATATTACAGATCTTTGTAACTTTGAGCAATTAGTTAATTTTATGAATTATAACATTATATGTTTGATGCTATTTAGCGTTAATTAACGCTGTAATTGAAAGATAGCCGAGAATCGATATTTCCAAGCAGTGCATTCGATAATGTAAAACGATGTTATCTGGATCTCTTTCCAATGCATTCTTGGCAGTTCGTTAACAAGACCATGAGTATGAGTTGTATACAAGGAACGGAAAAAGGAAGGCGAAAGTATTCTATATATGATGGATTTCTTCTTCCTTAAGTATAAGAACGAACATCCTGCCCGCAGGGTTTCTAATAGCCAGTCTAGACGGCATCTGGTTATTATATATTATGCATATTTATATGAAACTATTTAATTATTTTAATTTTTAAATAAATTTTTAAAAATAAGTAAAATTTTGAAGTTGTAAAAGAATTAATTGGAAATATTGAAATCGAAAAAATTTAACTTAAAAAATATAAATTTTTTTATATATAATATTCGTTTTCTTTGATTTTGTCTCACAATATTTTTTTTTCAATTTTCAAAATCATCTATTATTAATTTTTAAAAATTTTAAATACTTTTCATTTATCTTTCTATTTTTTATTATTTTCTATTACATTTTTTCAATTTTTTATTATTTTTCATTTTACTAATATTTTTAATTATTCTTTTTTTATTTTTTTAATTTTCAAAAGATGTCCATATTTAATAGAAGAAAAAAGATATTGATAACACAAATCATTTTTAAAAAATTCACTCGTTTATTGAACTGTCTAGTAAATACTTACAAGTTAATAAGATTCACAGAAAAATGTTAGAACAATCGTTCATTCATCAACAAAGAGGGATTGTTGAATGTATGTAAGAAGACACGATTTCCTGCAGTTGTGCATGTACCACTGGACAAGTATTTATAGTTTTCGACTTCTCGTCTGGTGCTGCTGCACGACCGGAAACCGGCCGATTATATTTAGAAAAAGACTTGACTGGACGTAGAATAACAATTCTGCTCGCGTTTGTCGAGAGAGAATCAGTATTGACTAATTCCCTTTATCCCCACTTTCGAATACGTCCGCCTTGTTAATCATTCTACT